GGGCGGTAGGACGGAAGGCAGCAGGCAGCTGTCCTGGATGCTGCCTGGGTACCACCCAGGGGCTTGCAGAGGCATCCCCAGGGGTAACAGGGGTCTGGGTAGAGGCGACAGCCACACTCAACTTGCTTTCTTCAGCTCCGAGCATCTTGGTTTCAGCATGGCCACCCGTCCTCTCCACCTCCCCCATCCCACTACTCCCCACAAAAGCTCACTATGTTCAATGAAATGGGTTCCTGTATTGCTTGTTTTCTCCTCTGACTCAGGTTCCAAGTTGAGGACCCCTTATTTCATGGTTAACCAGTAAAGAATCATTGTCTGAGGGTTTTTCTCCCTGATGACGCAACTTGCCTGCTAAGTAACTCCAAAATGCTATGCAAATTCAATTTGCCTAGGGGTTTTAACCATCACAATGACAGTGAAATCATTGACCAACTCACAGAGATGTCTATGTCTTAGATAGCTTCAAAGGAAAGTTTCTAAATAAGTACCAAATAATGACCCAGCCCCACCCAAGGACTAGAGTTGGAACTTTCTCCTCCACACCATCGTCCTGTCCCCAGGCTTATTAGGGCCCTGTGTTGCTGACAAGGAGGTTGTCCACCAGGGCAGTTTGGATGAGCTCAGCAGCATTAGCACTAGGGAGTGCTCTGCATCGTTCCTGAACCTGATTTGGCAGCAGCTATGAAGACCCTCTCCTCCAGGTGCCATGAGGGCAGCTTCCAAGGGAGGTGCTTTTCCCTGGCCACACGGTACCAGAATGCCAAGGAAGGGTCCAGTGTGTTGGATGGCTCCTGCATGATGGCTCTCTGGCCACAGCCACTAGTAGGGATCCTGGTGCCTTCTCTACATGTGGACTCCACATACTTTGTCCCCTGCTCCCAATCTTTTTCAAGACTATGCCTCTTCTCCAGGGCTTCCATTTTTATGATCAAGATTCTAATTTGAAAGTAAAAACACTAAACCATTACCTTTTTCTCTCTCTTTGTGTTCCTGCTACAAGAATCCTCATTCTTTTTGAGGCAAGTGGATGCCTCTTTCTACTAGGGAAAAGGTCAGGAAATCTAAGACCAAAGAGCCCAGAGAGTACTATGTCAATTGTCAATTGCTTTTGTTTGGTTGTTTGTTTTCCTAAAATCTGGCCACAGCCTGCCATATCATGTTGTTCTGTGTGAGTCGCTGAGCAATAGAACTGGGCAACCCCAGGTTAGCTCTGTCTCTGTGACCTGAAAGTCTCAATTTATCCACTCTGAAATACTCCACTTTCCAAATGCCTGATACCTTGTCATGCCCCCATGTTAATACCTTCTGAGAGAAAGACAGAAATACAACGTTGTCATAAGGATTCACTTCCAGCCTGGAAGACATTAAGTCTTGAGGAAAAAAAATGATTAAGGATTAAGCCTGATTCTCATAGTTTCTACAAAAAATAAATAAGTATAAACATTGATAGACCAGTCAGCAAACATTTATTTAGTACCTACTGTGTACTCTGCAAAACAGATGACACAAAGAGGAGTAACACATGCTCCTATGCTATGCAGATTCACAGCCTTGCAGGGAAGAGAGATACATGCAAAAATATACTGAACACTAAGTGGGCCATAGCAAAGGTGAGGACTGTTGTTCAGACAGTATCTTGGGAGTAGGGGAGAAGATAAATCAGTTTTGACAGGGGATCTGTAAAACTTCCTTGGGTGAATGGGATTTAAGCAGGACCTTAAAGGGCAGTGAGATTGCTATAGGTGAATATGATGGAGAAGGACATTCTAGGCTGCATGAATCGTTTGAAGAAAAGCGTGGAGTTGGGAAAGTACTTGGTATGTTTGAGTAATTATGAATTAACCAGTGTGACCATAGTATGGATTCAGGGTAGGGTGTAGAAGTGGAAGCTGGAAACATAAGTTGGAAGCATATTGAGGGTATGGGAAAAAAATCAATGGCCAAGTGAGCCAGTTTGTCTTTATTCTCTGTGCATCCAGGAAGTATTGAGGGTCTTTGAGTAGGAAGATACCAGAAGCAGATCTGTTTTTCTAAAAAGAGAACCCCGATATCACTGTGAAGAATAGATCCTAGAAGGCAGGAAGGAAGCAAGACTTGGTAAAGGTAATGGGAACTTGATCTAAAGCCAGAGAGGTGGCAGTGGCCAGGAGAGGATGAACGGGAGAGGCATCTGAGATGCTGCATTCATTCGAGGATGGCTGGTGGCACGTGGCAAAGAAAGCAGAGGTGAGCTGAGAGGGTTGTCCTTGCACACGCAGGCCCAGCTGGGGATGCTGGATTCAAGCAGGGTCAAGGAAGAGACTGACTATGGGCCCAGAAGCCAGTGGTCAGGGATAGCCTCATGGCCATCCCAAGCAAATTCTTTTCCTCCCTAGAATGCCCACAGGGGTAGCAACTGACCATCTGCTTTGCCAGTGTGGAACATCAAAATCACTGATTCCTAGACTCAGGTCCTTATCTGGCAGCCTTAGGAGCCCTGGAGAGCTTTTTAAACAATTTGTAGGCACCTTCCTATGAGGTTCTGATCTGGGACCCCCGAGATGGGTCTGCAGCGGGACCCAGGCATCTGTATTTTGTAAAATTGCCAGATGATTCTGAAGCACAGCTGGATTGGGGAACCACTGTGGGATCTTACTGTTGTACTGGGAAATGTATAAAAAACAAAGGTGGGCCGGACATGGTGGCTCACACCTGTAATCCCAACACTTTGGGAGGCCAAGGCAGGCAGATCACCTGAGGTCAGGAGTTCGAGACCAGCCTGGCCAACATGGTGAAACCCCATCTCTACTGAAAATACAAAAAATTAGTTGGGCATGATGGCATCTACCTGGAATCCCAGCTACTCAGGAGGCTGAGGCAGGAAAATCACCTGAACCCAGGAGGTGGAGGTTGCTGTGAGCCAAGATCCTGCCACTGCACTCCAGCCTGGGCAACAGAGTGAGACTCCATCTTAAATAAATAAATAAATACAAAGGTGGACACTTACTCCTGCTAGTGAACACTATGATATGATGACCTCGAGACCTAAGCTTTTGGTTTCCAATGCCATCTCTCAAGCACAATGACCATCATTGAGTCTCTTTGTTCACCTTCCATCCCCAACTTTGGTCCTCAGCAAACACATCAGCCAGTCTCCCAAACTTCCCAGAAGGACAATGTGTATACAAATCATCATTTCCATTCTTGTCCTTAATTGAAAAAGAAAGAGAGCTTTGCAATGTCACGGGGATTTCAAGAAAGCATCTTTTCACAGAATGTTTTGCATCTTTAGAAAACAGGCTACATAAAAATACTACTCATTTTCTGCCAGGTTTGTGCAACACTTATAACATTTTTATTTATATTATTGTTTTTATTTATCAGAAAAATGATACAATTTGGAGGTAAGGGAGGTGTTAAAAACTTCCCTTGTATACTCCGGGCTCTAGGTGATTCAGTGACTCATCCGAGGTCAGACAACCAGAGCTGGTCTAGAATTCACTGTCCTCCTGAGCTCCAGTTCTGCTTCTGTGCCATAATGGAGAGGAGTAACATAAAGGCATTTTTCTCTCCTTGTAAAAGAGAAAAAATGGGGGGAGAGGGAATTATTTAAACACACCTCACTCATACTGCAATCACTGCATTGTTTTTCCTGTTGAAACACCCTGTTGGTTTTCAAATCCCTTTAAACCTCCCCGGCACCTGTATGGCCCAGATCCAGGAATTATTACCAAACCCTTGCTTTTTATATTTAGCCACATAGGAGTTTCTGTGATGGTAACTGGCTCTTGGTTCAGCTGAAAATTTCAGAGCCCTCAGAACTTTTCTTCTTTCATAGAGGCTGGAAGCATGTAATGCTCAGACCTGAATTTTCTTGTTTAACTTAAGCATGGTATGCTTCCCCTCTGGATAAAATAGTGTTGTGGCACAGCACTATATTATTCCTCTGTGATGATCCCTCTAAAATATCAATCAAAAAAGAGGGCAGGGAAAAGATAGGGTGGGGGGTCAGAGCCAGCAGCTTATAGTATGTGATATGACCTCTCTTCAGAGAACAGAGGACTGAAAACATAGAACTGAGGTTGGCAACATAATGAGAACTTCCCAGCAAATTCATTATAGCAAATCATAATGTGAGCTCAGAGGGCACAAAAATAGGCCAAAGGAAAGTGACTCCCACATAAGACCTAATTAAGTACTTTGATGTCAGAAAGCAGTGCGGGGGGCGGGGGTGGAAAATCAGATCAGACTGACGTGAAGGGCCTAAATTCTAACAGAAAGAAGAAATATTTCTCTTTTACTCACTCTTGCTCTCTCTTTCTCAGTTTCTTCCTTTGCCGTGGAGGAAGAACAAGATTCCGAAACAATGGATTGTAAATTCTTCAGTCAATTAGTCCAGTGACTTACTACTGTTTATAATGCACAGAATATCACAGGCTGTTTTGCAGCTGCCCCAAGTTGGTTTGTTAATAACAGGAAGCTAGCACTTCTCAGTACAGTGGATCAGCTACACGTGAAAATAAATGCAAAAAACCTGGCAGGGAATAGCAGCAGACCGAGAGTAGCCTTGATTTAATTTAACATTTGGGGGTCCACACACAAATGAGCATTTTAGTAGGCTTCATGGTGGAAGTTGCTGTCATTTGTAAAATATTCTGGCCAATTAGCTAATAGTGTGCTTGGATTTCTCCTGTTTTGATACAGTAATACTAAGTACATTGTGAAGCCCAATTATACAAATCATCCCCATATGCCATACCAGTCTTTCTTTATGAACTGTGTTTATAAATCCTGTGTGAGGAAATGTGTACTTCAGCAATTTAGACCATGTGTAAAAACATAGCCAATGGGATTGTCAAGAAAACAAGTTCCAGCCTAGGAAATCCTAATGTGTTCCGCTGGAATAACAGGAGGGTGCCGGGAGTGCAATGCTCTGCTTAAATACATATTGCTTTATAGTGTTTAACCGACTTAGGGGCTTCCGCTCCCCTTTCTGTTATATTATTATTCTTTTCTTTTAGGATCCAACCTTGGAGTTTTTGAGAAAATTTGGGATTGGTCTTCTCTCGGGGACAATAGCCTCAGTCATTAACATCCCTTTTGATGTTGCCAAAAGTAGGATTCAAGGGCCTCAACCAGTTCCTGGAGAGATCAAGTACAGAACCTGTTTTAAAACAATGGCAACAGTCTATCAGGAAGAAGGGTAACATAACACATTCTTATTTTAATAAATGTATAAGGCTCACGTATTGTTAAAACTGAATTGTCCTTCCATTTAGATGAGAACCAGTAAGCCCTCCTAAGTGGAGCTTGTGTCTAAGAAACTCTGCAAATATGTATGACAAGCTTTCCAAGACAATAAAATAATAAGATGTTGTAAACATGTGCTTACACCATCAAGTGACAATATGCTGCGTGTTTGCCATAGAATGCCAAGATGAACTTTTTATTTGACAGTTTGCATAGTAGAGTATTATATGTTATATGTCCTATTAATATAAACGCAGGAGAATAATTGTCTTCTGACTCTAAATCCCATCAAAATGCCACCTAATTATATTCTCCTGGGAGAATTATAGAGTTCTGTAAAGATAATTTAAAAAATTTAAAGTATGTGCATTTTTCTGATTTTTTAAAATCTTACTTTCTGTTTCGTCGCCGCTCTTTTCCTCAAGTAAACAAGTAATATTTTATTATTTTGATATAAACTGCATCATATTTCCAAATGTAAAGACTGAGTTTGTGGTCTTTTAAATTCAATTACAAAAGTCATTCTGTCCATATACACAGCTGTCTTGAAAGTAAGACCTGTCTTGAAAGCAAAAGCATCTCGCTGATGAAAGTCATGTTTCTGATTGGGCAGGACCAGCAGAGTTGGGTAATAAAGAATTGATTAACTCTTTCCCCACATCCAGTTTGCTGCAGAGAATACTAAGATGCTGTCTGCTTTGAGATGTGTATAATTCCAAATAATTTATTTTTTTTAATACTGGGCCCCCATCTCAATAAAGCTAAGGTACAACTCCATTTATTTTCAGAATAAGAATGTTTCTCTTTCCCTTCCTATTACAGGATTTTAGCTTTGTACAAAGGCCTGCTTCCCAAGATTATGAGACTTGGACCAGGTAATGATATTTTGATTATTTAATCCTTACTTCTTTCTTGTTCTATTGTCTCTTTTTTTGTTATTTGTGTCCATCAGCAACAAAATAAAGGTTTACCACTTTGTAAAAGACAAAAACCTTGGAATATAAAGTTGTCTATGAGTATTTGAGATACTGAAGACATCCATTAAAAATGTTCTACCTTTGTTTATTAAGTACTATTTATGACCTTGCTGGAGGCTGACAGAAGCCAAAACCCAGCTTAAGTCAATAGGAAGAAGCCACAGGCAGTAGGAGTTTGAGTAAGAGCCGAGGTGTATGCAGTGGCTTCTGGCTAAAGGGGAGGCTTTTCACTGAGTGAGGGACCAGCCCAATTAAACGTTTCCTCGTGCTCCTAATTCATTCTTGCTCTTGCCTCAACTTCATTTCAAAAAGAGAAAAGGAGGACAGCTTGCCTCCATGAACAGCAAAAGCCACTCATCTTCACAGTCACCTCTGGGGAGTGGTGACACCGTAACTAGCCGCTTACCTCTCCTGGCCTTTGTCAGCATGACGCTGGAGGCTTCTGGCTCAGGGCCTCACTTCAGAATGCCAACCCACAAAAAAACCGGCTGCCATTCCCACAGGGAGAATCGGCTGCCTCTGTGTAAATAGATAAGAAAATAACTGCTGCAGACTCAACTGCCAGGGCAGATAGTATTGGATTATAAGCAACCTTGCGAATAAGTACAAAAGTATACTCTAGACCACACATATTTTTTTATCAGGTTATACTCACCTATTTATACATACTGGTAATATTTCCTAGAACCTTCTCCTACTCCTCCGCTCTCCCCTTTGCAGTTCCTCCCTTTTAATACTACTGTCCTCCTACCCTACTACACAAACACACATCCACATTCACCTTTAGATCTCAGCCCAATGAACCAACATTTCTATTAATCTAAGATAGAGAACAACAACAGTCTGTAAATTGAAGACGGTGAACAGCTCACACTTTCATATATTTAGGAAACACTTCCACAATTCCCAACCCATCTATCCCAATCTTTATAGGCCTTTACACATGGATTTTGCTTCATATTTGGGATTCAGATCTACCTTCCGTTAGTCATTGGCCCGTGTGTAAAAGCTAACCCAGTAATAGAATGTGGGGAATTTTGTGCATCTCTGCCAGTATGTGGTGTTTTTCCTTCACCACAGAGTAAAAACCTGCTGGTAGACCTAATATGAGAGGAAATCACAGCACCAGCCCTAAACCAACTTTCTCAGAAAGGAATGGGCCTAAAAAGGGTGGTGACAAGGGAGAGGTTAGCTAAAATTGTAATTGACTGGAACCTTCATCCAAAACTCTTAAATAATCTGACCCCAAGTTTTGTTACAGGATTGCAAATGTTTTGTTGGCTTTTTAAATGTTTTGCATGAGGAGTCCTGAGTTGCTGTGGTGTTATACCCAAAGAAAAGCGTTCTTGAACTGACTGTCCAGGCTAAGCCAAACTGTGAATATCTGGAAACCACTCACAGACCTGCCCTCCAATTCATTCCAAATGTGTGCATCACAGCGACTTCAAACCAAAGAAACCTAGAAAGAAAGGTACCACTGAGTTAAGATTAAGACTTTTGAATGAAGGGTGAATTTTTTCTTAAAGAATGAGAGAGAGACGTAAAAAAAAATAATAAAAATAAAAGAAAACAAAAAAGAAAAAGAAATGTGAGCCTGGAATTTTTGTTGTTTGTTCTGGAGAAACATCCAGCATTTTTACAATAGCCTTAGCAGCTCAGCGTGGCTAACAATCAGATACCTTCCATGAAAGAATCTTGAAGTCTGTGATTTAAACTTCAGCTATTACTAGGCCAAAAACTAACCCAACTCTGCATATTCTTGTCTTAATGGTTAATAAGAATAAATGCAGCAATTACTTACATATTAATAACCCTCTGTAGCGCAGCTCTTTTTGTTTGTCAGAGTTCCAAGAGGTCTAGAGCAGCTGAGAGAGGACTAATAGAGTATCTTCATGGGTTAAAAATGAAAATTACAGGCAGATAATTATCTTTGGTATATAGTTACACAAACATGTGCAGCCTGTAGATTTAAAAAAACAAAAAAATGTATGGCAGTATGTTCAAAATAACTAAGACCCAAATCAAGTTCTATTTCTTTCCATCAGAAGTCAATCTTCTATTCATGCAGCCAAGTCTTCTCTAAGTTGTGTTCATGATATTTGTCCAAATTTTGATTTTGTAATGTTTTTCACACAGTTAGACATAAAAGGATAAGAAGAGATTATCCTGAAGGGCACAGGACACATGCTATTTACTGCATCAAATAGAACATAAAATGATCCACGTACAAATTCTTCTCCCAGTGGCTAGGTATCCAGCAGCCTTAGTGACTGCTTTTCTGTATCATATTCCTGTTGACATACTACAGAGCATGTCTCTTCACAACTAGTTATGTAGCTGTTTTCTTCCAAGACAAATGGTGGTCTCATGCCATCCAACCCCTACTACCAAATTTTCAAGTTCAAATCCATATACACCGGAAGCAGATAAAAGGAATGAAGGTTAGCTTTCAACCTGCTTTTGTTAGGTTTTGCAATACAGATTTTTTAAATATTCAGAATCTAATTTCCACATTGCAATGCAGTTTGAAAGCTATGACAGAAAACTAGACTCATCCATCAAGCACCATCTTAGAGATTTCCTTCTTGAATGCAATTAAGACTGCTAATTATGGACTGGAAAAGATAAATCCTTAGCCTACACATGAAGAATCTGAAGGTTTCTGTTTGCAGGAAAGCCACATGCCCTTACATGACTAAATATGTCTATATTTATTTACTTTTAAAAATTAAAAGTGCCTGAAAAAGAATCTGATGAGAAATGATGAAAGTTGCAAAAACTCATGGGGGAAAAATGTATTTGGAGACTCAAGATGGTATTGATTTTATCCTGAGAATTTTCCACAGTAGTTTGTATCTTTGTATTGAAGCTCCAGAACTGCTGATTCCGAACAGCCTCTGCCCGACAGGCTGTGTGAGACATCATGGATTCAGAAACCCAGTGGGAAAGCCAGTGCTATTCCAGAGGATTTGCAATAAAAAACAGCTCTTTTCTTTTCTAGGTGGTGCAGTGATGCTGCTGGTTTATGAATACACCTATTCATGGCTTCAGGAGAACTGGTGATTGCCTAGGAAGTGTTTTTCCCCCTTGAGATAATGGATATTTGCTATGCAGCACCATGAAGAAGAGAGACTATCGACCAGCCAGGTGTATAATTATGAAAGAGAAAACTGTTCAAGAACAAAATCTATTTTAATACTTTAAAAATATCTATAGACAACTTGAGATGATAGTTTTGGCTGTATAAATAAAACTGTGAGAAGAAAAAATAATATGGAACAATGAGGTATTTAAAGTGAATATAGGAAAATAGCATAGAAATCATGTATTTTGTAAAAGAAATATAAACTTTGTCTCCTATGTTCCTCTTCACTGCTTCACAATGAAAATTCATTGTGTTGATCAGTATTTTTTTCTAAGAGGTCTAGAAATGCTTAAACTATTGAAAATAACTCAAATCATTCAAAGACTGGGTTAAAAAAAGTTAAGCCAAAATTTAAACAGTTTTTATAATGAATTAAATTATTCCATAAATAATATTTAAAGAGCACAAGAAAAATGCTTTAAAGTGCACTAAAATGACCTTTTTAGAATGTTTAATTTTATGAATACTATGTTAAAATGTAAATCTGTTGGTTTTCTGTAGTATCTATGCACATATCAGCTCTATTTTCCTACATCTACTTTATATCTCACATTGCTGTAAGATAATAAACAGGTATTTTAAAACATTGTTTAGAACAGAATGTTAAAACACTGTTGTTTAAGCATGTATTTTTAAATCACGATATCCCAAATCTCTTCTAACAAGTAGGAAACATGCAATAAAATTTACTTTGCTTCTCACAGTTCTCTTTGAAGACAAGTTTTGTTGATGAGATATTTTCACGTTAAATCACAAATTGGAAGCACCTTTGGACCCATTTGTCAGCCATCAGTATTTACATCCAAATACCTTTGTTCAACATGCCTACCTGCGCCATTTTTAGGAAGAATGTATAGAACAGAACTGCATTTTTAGGTTATTGGTTTTAAACGACAACTTCAGATGGGAAGTCGGCTGTCTGCAGTATTAAAATATGTATGATGAAGGAGAAATGTTCCAAAAGAGAAATACACTTAGCATTTCTAAGGATTACTCTACTAACATGTACCACCAAAAATATCTTCTTGGTCTTGATGTAACCAAACTTGATTTTATATCTGCATCCAGAAATGATGCTGATTCAGTCAAGTCAACAAGAATACCTGAAAGTCCACATGACACCTGTCCTAAGTTACTACCGTGGGCTATTTCTACTACTAAAGCATTTTAAAAATAAAAAGTAAAAGATAACATGGTAATTATTACTTTTTATTAATTTAGAGCATTTGAAGTATAAAAATAAAAGGCTTTTGACATACTGTATATACATACATAGCCTTCTGTTGTACATCCTTTCCAACGTGTTTTTTAAAATTTATATTTCAGTCCAATAGTCAATAAAAGGGTCATTAAAAACAAAACAAAATTGTTAAAAAAGAGAAATGAGAATGTGTCTCTGTGCACAACTGCATTCTATCCTTGCAGGTAATACTCTTGCATTCTATGAGAGCACTGCCTGCATAGAGGCCATGAAATTGAACCTTTAACCTCTCCATGTGGATGAGATAGAAAAGGATTTCTGAAGAGTGCATTTGCCAGTTTAAAAGCAACACTTTTATCATCTATGAGATGGAGGAAATACGTCAACATTAACCAATAATAATTATCTTTAAAAGTTAACCCTTTAATCCATTCCATTTTTCTTCTTGTATTTTAAAAAGTGGCTTTAAATCATAATTTTCTTTGAATAGCAAATTGTATCTGTTGTCTTTTAAAAATTACTCCATGTGAATTCACTGTTAAGACCTAGAGGGAGAAAAGGAAACTTCGATACCATTAATATTAGATTTTTTAAAATACAAGAACCAGAAAAAAATTATAAATAGCACAATAACAAGAGATTTCTTAATTTAGATAAAGAAAATAACATTATTTGCATTTCCACACAAGCAATTATTAATTTTTAAAGCCCCCTAACAGCCACCTAAAAACGTTTGATAAAGAATAGTTCTGTACCTTACATCAGTTTTTCAGATGACAGGAAAGTCCCTGCATGGTATGGTTTTAAAGTCTCCACCAAATTATTGGATTGGATCTTTGTTCCATTCAGTTTATAGTCTATTTTCTCACCAGACTGGGAACTCCAGATGTCAATGGGAGTTTTACAAGATCAAAGGAAGACTATGGCCCTGAGAGTTCATCTGCTCCTGCTTTTTCTTCTCCTGAAGTTATAATCCTCTATTTGTAGCACTGAATTTCGGTTGCTTTAGAAATAAATGCAGTTCAAAGCTCTCTACAAGATATCTGCTGTTTGAAAAAAGCAGTCACTCTAACATAACTTGTTATGTTAATCTGCTTACTGTTTACATCCTAGTGATTTGAAAACCTAACTAATCTAGCCATCTGAGTTTTAAATGAAGCCATGAAACTGATGTGGTGGAACTGCATTGCCATGTAGACTGCACAGCACAGATGGGAAGAAATTAAAATCACCTAGGGAATCCATCTTCAACATCCATATCCAGTGAGGTGCTCTTTTAGTTATTGCACAGAATTAGTACCAAAAAAACCCTCAATATATTAATTTTCCAACAGTTGAATTGTACCAATGTCCTAAAAACATATTTTTAAGCCTATTTTGCCAACCAGGAAGAACTTCCTAAACAGAAGGGATTACAAACTGTAGAATTTTGCCCCAGAAAATCAATCGTTTTAAAATACAACACATACTACTCACATGCTCACACACACATATACTCCACAGCTGTTATTAACATTAAAGTGAAAAATAAATTGGTCTAGAAAGGTTTATGAGTTAAACTGTGTTCTGTAATTTCAGAAATGAATAAAGGGAATTTGTTAAAATTAAATAACATTGTATTTCTAGTACCACCACCAGTTTACCTACATGTGATACATGCTTCTGTACAACAATGTAAACTTCACAGCAAGCCATTGTTACATTCATTAGAGCAGAATTTTCCATTTTCTTTAAATTACAACATAATTTTGGGCTGAGATTGCTGAACACACAGGTAAGCCAACAATAACAGTACAATTTAGTTTCACAGTGGTTTTCTTAACACAAAGTTCATTTTAAGCATCTTTGCAAAACATTTCACATTAAACTTAAGTTTCTAAGTGACTTCCTTTAGAGCCTTCTTGTTCAGATATCTTCCACCCTCTTGTCTTTATATGCTTGGCGTGTGTGTTGTTTGATTAGGTACAAAATGGGAGACTGGCTTGTTTTATTTGTTTTTCGTGTCCTCTGCTGTAGAAAGAAAGTGTCCTTCATGAGATGTTGAAGCCTTCACTGCATACACAAAATTTGGGGGCAAGTCCAGGTCCAGGAGCCCGAGCAGCCCACCACCAAACAGAGACAAAGACGTTGCCAGAAAGTCACCTTTGCAAAAAAGAAAGAAAAAAATAGAGAAGGGGGTGGGGCTGGGGGGAGGGGAATATCTTATGGAATGAAGACACAAATGCACCATCCAGAGTCCATATTTACAAACTAATAGAAAATATAAACAGTATTGTATTTGGAACCAAGTCAAAACACCAGGGAGAGCTAGATTCAGATATTGCTTGGGTTCTACATATATTTTTCAACAAAATAGGTCATGTCTTAAAGATAAACAAAGGATCACTCAAACAAGTCAATTATTGATTTGTTTCCTAATGATGAATTAAAGCTTACTTGGTTACCATATTTGATTAGAGGGTGTAGCATAATTTTTTTTCTATAAGTACTTTCCTTTATTGATTTTGCAAAATCTCAACAATTGCACATTTCAAAAGTTTAGGTTGATTTAGAATAAATATACACATGTGGTTTTACCAAAGACTAGTTTGTAAAGTTCCTTAAACCCTTTGAGGGGTGTAGGTTTCTTTGCTATATTAAGACAGTATGTGGGCAACACAATGTCTCATTTATTGTTGCTCTTGTTTTTAAATTCTAAAGTCATGTCAGTTTTTCTGCAAGAGAAAAGTTATGGCAAGAAATATGTAAGTATCATCAGCACAAAGGATGTGAGTCCGTACAGCCAGCTTTCAAGGCAGGAGAGTTGGAGGGCAGGAGGGGTGGAATGTGAGACCTGCGAATTGGGGGAGGAGGTGCTGATATGGGGAGACCCGGGTGAAGCTGCTGGAGACGGAATTTCCCATCAGAGTGCGGAAGCCGTGACAGAATGACTACCTTCTCTGGCTGCCTGCATTCCCTTGAACGCCAGCGATGCGGGAATGTCACAGTTGTGGGGAGACAATGGGGTGCTGCCAGCATGTTGCCACCCATGTCCAGCAACATAACCAGAAGGAGAAGCGCTGTAGGTCATGTAAGGCGACACTTGGGCCGGGGTAGGGTAAGGAGCCATGCTGGATGCTGACACAAAACTGCCCACAGCTGGGAGACCATTTGGTGCCTGAGAGGAGTAGAAAAGGAGTGAAAAATAATCACATTATAGGAGTGAACATTTCACAGGTTCTTAGAAGCAGAATTTAAGTCTGAGTAAGCCAACAATGCTCTAACTCCACTCTCTGTTTAAAAAAAATTTGAGCTTTATTATATTCTAAAGACATTCACAGTCTTGCCACTTAAAGAAACATAATGGCAAGATATTATTCTTTCCACAAACATTTAGAGAAAGCTGCAACCAGAAAATTCATAGTATTTGCTTGTGCTATTTGGAAGTACAGGAAGGAGGTGCAGGGTGAAGAAAGAATCAATGGCGATTAAATACTCTTAGAATCTGTTCGGCTGTCCTCATTGCCTTTGTCAACCTTCCTGGGACTTGGGTTTTGTTTGGCTCTTTTGTTGAGGCACTTGTGACAGGCCTGGTTGATATAGCTTTTATTTTCAGTAAAGAAGGGCACAGACTGCAGGCCGTCATGTTAGAAACTCACAACAAACACGACCTTCGTTAAAGAAAATATATACCATATTTTAAGAGATCATATCGAAAATTCCCGTTGCACAAAGGACATACAAAAATCAGGCACTTTGTCTTGTAAGGATTTTTAAATGAATATTGCAGGTACCTTTTCCAGGACTGTTTTATCAGAAGGGAAACTGTCTTTCCTCATATAAAAGAACTGCATATACCTGCTTTTGAAATTGGAAATTTTGCTTGCAAAGTTTTTGGGCCCTGTGATGTGAGTTTTTAAAAGCCACGTGGATAAATCTCTTGAAGTGAATTTAAAAGTTAAAATCTTTGTTTGCAAACACAATGCAGCACTCCTGGCAGGCGAGCCTGCCTAGAAACCAGTGCTCTCTTGGCAGCCAATGAATTATTGTTGGTATCGTTACTATTAACAACACTAAAAACACCCTGATTTTTAATCCTGATTCTGGCATGAACACTGGGCATCCTTCTTCAAGTAGTCTAATTTTTTCCCCTCAATTTTTATACTATTTAGAAATAAAGAGTAGATCCTGTGTCCTGATAGTGACATGAATGAATTACCATTTCAACATATTTCCTAGTGAAAATATAATGTAAATACTATAATTTTATTAGGAAAATTGATTTAATCCTTAAAATTAAATTAATCAGGTGTATGTTAGCTAAATACGTCTTCTCATTCAATTGCAACATATGAATTACTTTCTAATTTAATTTATTTCGGCTATTGTTTTCACTTCTACATCTATGAGAATGCAGTGGTGGGGTCTCAGAAACTGTTTTCTCAGTGCAGAGTAGATGAATATGTATATGGAATAGAATATATACATGGGTATGACTTAACATTACTCATGCATTTCTGACAAAATAAGAAAAATATTAGAGGGGTTAGCCTTGTGTCTATGTTCTGTAAGAACAAACACCTCATGTTGTGTTTTTTGATGTTGGTTCTTTGAAAATAGGGAATGAGAAAGGAAGCTAAAGTTTCTTAAGTGTGTCCTATGTCCCAGGCACCAAGAAATATCCAACATATTTTACTGAATAATGAGGATTAATGAATTATATAGTTCATTACAAATGATTGAGTTTATCATAATTACAAGATAGCATGTCACAAACACAAGACAATGTTCAACTGAAATTAAAGTGTATTTGAAGCGTCCCAGAGAATGATGATGCTACATTTTTTTAATCAAGAAACTACTGCACATAACTGTTGAAGACAAATGAAATCATCCTCTTTTTATACAAGGATATAGATTAAGAGGTTTAGCCATGTCCCCTCAACCAATTGGCAAGTCAGTGACCATGTGTTAAAAGAATTTATCACCCCTGTCCAATGCAGGGTCCTCTGTAGCATATCATACTGTTTTTCCTGGACACTTAAAAGATAGATGCACTTTAATTTAAAACTAGAGCATCTTTTGAGATAACATCCGGTAACAAATTCTTTTCTCTCCTAGAACATGATTCTCATTGTTAGATCCTCACCTCTTTCTTAGCTTCTAAAAAAAAAATATAGTTTCTTCCACTTTTTGAGAATTGCTGATTATATCTCAAAGGAGACACACTTTAAGGCTCTTGTGAGATGGGTATCAAGATAGAGAACTATCAAATTACAGAGGAAAAAAATTTAGTTTTGCATAGAGATTATAGTTTTTATCATTTTTATTTAGAATTGTCCCAATAATCTATGATAAATGAGTTTGGAAAGAAATAAATCCAATTCAGTTATGGAAAGGTGTTCACATCTGTATGTGGTGTTAACTAATATTTTCATTTCCAGCATTAACTAATATTTTATACTACTGATGCCAGTGTGAACTAAGAATAATGAAAAAAGAATGCTAACATTAAAAATTAATTCTAAAATAATAAAAATCTTTGGCCAACATCATACAGGGACATAAGGTTAAACAATTTAATATTATACATGACAGAAACAATGCTCTAGTTAGCAGAACATAACTGTTGGTGAGTTCTATTTTTCATCACAGCTAAATTTTTCCTACCTATTCTTTTTTCTTTGTATTTTATCTGTCATTCAAAATTACAGTTCTCTCTGAGATCCTTGCTTAGTCATCTTCCCTTTTCTTACACCTTTGCTCTTGGAATTATTGCTCATTGACGTGCCCCATTTACTTGGACTCTTGTTTTGTTGCAATGTCTGTGGTTCCCTTACATGGACCCACTTCTTTTTGCCCAGAGATGTTCCCCCTGAAAGGTGGCCCTCAGAGACATGCTGCATTGAACTTCTATCTTGGATAATGCTCCTGGAATTTAGGGGGAGGCAGGACATTGGATTTAGGCCTGTATTACCTTTTAGTGCCTTATTTATTCCATGATTACATTCATTTATCAAGTGTTAAAAAATGAGCAAATTTTTCCATATTTGTCCAATTTCTCATACTTAATTCACAAACTTGCTTTATGTCATTATTCTTATTATTAAATATTTCAAAGTTCTCTTAAATCCACAATATTTATTTAGTATCATTTTAGTAATGCAATCCCCTTTGTACTGCAGAAAGATAAAGTAGGAAGAGAAGCTCGGAGAGGGTTGATTTCATCTCAGGAAAAGGTGGCCCAGTACGGTGGCTCACGCCTGTAATCCCAGCACTTTTGGAGGCTGAGGCGGGTGGATTGCCTGAGGTCAGGAGTTCAAGACCAGCCTGGCCAACATAGTGAAACCCCGTCTTTACTAAAAACACAAAAATTAGCCGGGCATGGTGGCAGGTGCCTGTAATCCCAGGAACTTGGGAATCTGAGGCAGGAGAATCGCCTGAACCTGGGAGTCGGAAGTTGCAGTGAGACAAGATCGGGTCATTGCACTCCAGCCTGGGCAAAAAGAGCAAGACTTCATCTCCAAAAGAATAAAAATAAATAAAAAAATTTAAAAAAAAAAAGGCAAGGAGAGGCTAAAGTGTTTGCTTTAAAAAAAAAAAATAGAAATCTTTAAACTTAAACAGTATAAAAATAGCCCTTAGTTTTCCCTCAGGTTAAATTATGACCTAGCTTGGGGGTCTGGAGACTTTTGTCTTAATTTTACTTTTTACTTTTGAAGTTCAGATTTGTAAATTTAGAAAAAAAAAGAGCAAGTAAATGTGCTTTAAATTTTACCTGCCTCCTGCCACCTTCATTATTTATTCATTTTAGTGACTCAATAAACACATCAATTTTCTCACTATTAATTTTGACACATAAAATTAGTAAAAGATATAAATCTCTACTGGGTCAAGTAATTGTTATTTATGAAGCAATCACTGAAAGAGTAAAATTTTCCACCGCAAAGGAAAACAACTACAGGTAGCATTGATGTTTGTTTATTCTTTCCAGTAAAAGAGTACATGACTTAAACGTCCCAAATCTGTTTAATGTTTTCAGTGAAGGGCATGTAATTAATCTGAAAAGCTAGTTAGGCCGAGTAGAGACTACCAAATGTACACTATAAATATAGTGGGAGCAAACATGCTAAATTACTCTATTTAATTGGATTGTAAATATGATTTATAAATCAACCAACATATTGAATCCCCAGGGAAGAGTAAACAAATTTTCCAAATGAAACCCCAGCAATGGGCATGTAATGGAAATCTCATTTTTGAAAATGACTTTACCTAAAGATTCCATAAATAAGACTTCAATCCGTCAACTCCTTTCTCATGTGAATCTTCCATGAAAGGCATGAGAATTATTTCCCCTGAAAGAACTGTGCAAGGGTGCTCTCTATAGCAAACTATCTTCTACCTAAATTTGAGAAGGAGATTTACTAATACAAAGCAAAATAGACTAAATTGCATACCCTAGAAAAAGTAAGTTACTTGCTTTGTTTTAATACTTTTAGGAAAAGACCAACTTCATCACACTGACATTAAAGGAAAGAGTCTAGAAAAAAATATATAAGATGCAATGTAGTTCTAGTTAAGGTTATTACATGAAGAATGAAAGTACATGTTTTAATTTCATTTGTTCTGAATGTTCAAAATACAGATTTACCAGTTTTTTAAAAGAAATTTTAGTGAATATGTCGAAGAACTGTATTGACAGAGGGCTAGATTGTAAACTGTTTGAGGACAGGGACTTGCCTTAATCATCTTGTGTCCCCACAAAGTAGTATACATCATAAGCATTCCACAACCATATGTACACTTAAGTTAGTATAGGTTTGTGGAAAGCAAAAGATGTGACAGTCTTGCTTAAAAAACAAAGCAAAAAGGTAGGCACCGTTTATCACAGGACAAGCATTACACTTTAAGCAAGCAAAATGAATAAAGCTGTTTAAAAAAGTAAACAGAAGTTCTAACCTAGCCATTATTATTTGATTTATGGTTATTCCATTTACCCTCCCTCCTCCAAGAAAATGAAAATACATTAGTATCAAAACACTTGTGACCACCATAAAACTGCTATGGCAAATGTCTGGCAATTAGAGGTTATAGACCATTATTCAAATTCTGGGAATTGTCTATTCAACATTTTTTATCGTGAAGATAAATGCAAATAACAGTGCCAGGTCCTCTACCCATAATCTGCTTTCACTTATCAGTTCAACCCGGTCCTCCTCTTATGATAAAATGAATTTACCTTGGCTTTATAATAAAGTAGATTTAGCCACAAATAGAGATATGCTTCACCTAGAATTTCAACCTCAATATCATAAGCAAGAAAAAGTTTTGGATCTGAAAATAAACAAGATTTTCTCTTTTTTGGTGAACTCATTTTTCTGACTGTCATTCTTCCCTTTTTAATTCATTATGCAATGACCTAGTAAAACATACCTGACAAAATGAAATGATGGTTATAAATATGGTTTCAACATTCATCCAACAAGATCTTAATTACGCTTACTTATCATATTGTAGATCTAAATGTTTTTAAGAAATGGAAAGCTGCTATTTAAAAGCTTTTCTAAATTTTATAATTTTCCAAAATATTATTAAAATTGACATAGCCTTGAACAATTTTCAATTACCTTTCCCTGCTATTTTATATAACACATTTTACTGATATATAATCATTAATTTTATTTTGAAATACTACTGGTTAAAATATAACCAGGTCAAATAATGTTTTTCATAACAGATAACCTTATGAATTTCAAAGACATTCTGCTGGCATTTGCCTAAGATTTCATTGTTTATAAATTGTAAATTGTTTATAAAAATTAACTTTAATATGAAGAAAAATTTAGTGCAATATCATTTATATCTTTCTGAGAACAGTACAGGACAGCCAGGCTGTCCGCTAGGACAGCCAGTTTTTAAAATAATACACTAGAAAATCACATTTAGGATTCTAGAAGACTATCTTCATTTCAGATGCATGTACAAGTAAATGCTTCGTAAGAATTTCAGATTATATCTGTAAATTCAACTATTTTCACAACTTAATTCTGAACTTTTAAAAAGTTCAATTATTTATAGACTATTCTCTATTTCTGACATCCCAGTTTGTAGCTAGTGTTATATTAAACTTACCAAGTTAACATCTGCAACCCCAAAATGAAGATACCCAAAGCTTGTAAATCTGTGTCTCCAATTACTTGAGAGTATCAGATATTCAATGTATTTTTCCTGAGAAAGTATGCCCATTTGTAGAAAAATTTTCAAGAACTATACAATTATTTATATATAGCTTGAATAAAATTGAAGTATTAATTCACTAAAGACTTCCTAAAAGGACAAATGTATTCCAGCCCCTATGATTCTCTATATGAGGTTTTTTGACCATTCCAATTGTATTCTATTGGAGTTTTATGCTTTCAACAGAAAAGAACCAGCCATAAGGAACCAGAGAACATTGTTGCCATTCAGAAGCAAATGGGATTAAGTACTTCTAGCCCCCATATTAACTGTGGGTTTAAAAAAGCCAAAATAAATATTCTATCCTCAGAGACAATAAGGACTTCTGAATGGCACTGCAAAATGTTAATTACAATGTAATATTAATATGTAAGACAAGTTAGAATATTCTAAACTGAATTTTCAAAGACAAAAGATATCTATATGCATAGCTGAAATGTGCATACAGTTTTAATTAGTAGGAATCAGGACATCTGTCTCTACAGTTTAAGCTGAAAATAGAAACTCTAGGTTATGGTAATCAATAGTATCTATACTCAGTTGTGTAGTTTAGCCCCTTGGTAATTCTACAGGTGTCCTCAGGAAAAATATGCTTTAAGCACTATGATTCTGAATTCTCAATTTCCTTCTTTATATAATAAAATTAAACTAGTATCACATAATATTGCACTATTTAATAACAATCACAAATGCTCTGAAAGTTGGAAAATTTTTAAAGACTTTTTTTTTGGCCAAAGACATTCAAGTTTTTGTCCATAATATAAACAGAGGGAAAAATATGTGTTACCTGAGTTTACATTTTGGTTGAAATATGCTGATTCCATTTTGAAAAGTAACTTTTAAAAATAAATCTGCCCTTTGAACATTGGTAAGAGAAATGCACATATATGGGCAACACTTTACCTTTGTATGTTTATAAACAAGTATTACTGTGTAATTTAACCTTACACGAAATCAATGTCTAAAGTTCAAAACTGCTCAAAAAAATGACATGGCTGAAGTTTATGTGCCTACTTAGCACATCTTCAGCATTAAGCACTATTTTGATAATTATCATAGAGTAGCCACTGATTTATATTATTCTTAAAAACTTTTCAGGTTTTGAAATTTTACATCATTTGAATTATCTAACTATTAAATACATTGCAATGCAGAAGATTAGCATATTGCAATTGAGAACTTTGCAAAAGTAAGTTTGATATTTTTTATTCTGGAAAAAATAGTTTATTAAGTATTTAGAGCAATATTTATTTGGCTACTTATTTCTTTAAATTATATTATTTTATAAATGTGATAATTTAGTGGTTTAAAATTTAGTATATAAAAGGTAATCTGTTTTTAATAATCAGCATATCAATTACTTGAAACTTCAAATTTTTTATTTTAAATAATTTGTCAGTTTAGTTTTGAAGTGTATTATAAATTAAGCATTTCCAAACAAGTTTCAATGCTAGATCTATAATTCAAGGAAGTGAAAATAAAAATAACTGGCCAGTGCGGTGGCTCACGCCTATAATCCCAGCACTTTGGGAGGCCGAGGTGGGTGGATCACAAGGTCAGGAGATCAAGACCAGCCAGGCCAACATGGTGAAACCCCATCTCTACTAAAAATACAAAAATTAGGTGGGTGTGGCAGCGCGTGTCTGTAATCTCACCTACTCCGGAGGCTGAGGCAGGAGAATTGCTTGAACCCGGGAGGCAGAGGTTGCAGTGAGCCGAGATCGTGCCACTGCACTCCAGCCTGGGGCAGAGCTAGACTCCGTCTCAAAATAAATAAATAAATAATAACTATAAAGGTTTTTTTGGATTATGACTGCTTGATATATAAACTGGGTTCATCAATGACATGTGGGAATTAGAAACTTTTTCAACTCTATACTTCACAACGTTAGTCCAATAAATGATGACCTAATAAAAAGCACTAAGCGCCTATTAAATGCTTGCTTCTCTGGTAGGCGCTTTGTATACACTCTTTCTATGTTTGTAACAAGATCCCTTGAAGTTTTGACTATGGTCTCTCAGAACAAAGTATACTCTGATAAATATTACTTGCTTTTACACGTCTCTCTTTAACTGCCACTTAGAACCACAGGTAATACTTAATAAATGCTTACTATGTGCCATATGGTTGCATTATCTCATTGAATACTCATAACACCTCTGGGTTGGAAGTATCATTTCCCTGTTTTAAAGATGAAGAAATAGAGACTCTAAAAAATTAAATATTTTCCTAAGGAGTCGTACAGCCAGAGATTGGAGCTCCTAACCGTTGTACTATTCTGCCTTTTCTTTGCAAATTACGAATTAAGGGTGGGTGCTTTAGCAAAAGAAAATGACAAACTTCCTTATCATTTCTCATTGACATTCTTTACAGTAGAAACAGACTAAGGAAAAGGGCTCTCTTTCCTTGCTGCTATTTTCTGTGTTATTTGTTATTGGAGAGCCACCAATATGTATTCTGATTCTATTTCAACAAAATAAGAGAGGGAAGAGGAAGTGGAAATGGGATTTGTTACAGAAAATAATGACCAGGATTTTTTTCCAAGTGAATAAGAGGAACAAGTTCCACTTAATGTTAAAAGCTGATTTTGACAGATAGGAAAACATTAAAAATTTTAAGTCTTCAAAATAATAAAACGAAAACTGAATAGCTTGAGGCTTTGGAATTGAGTTTGGGATTAAGAAATTTGCAAACCTACTGAGGTCTGCTGGGGAAACCTTACATTGCCTTAAGGTTCGGTTTTTGAGAGTTTTGAACTCTTGACTCCAGGACGGTGATGAATTTAGACTTAAATCTGGGGCTTTTGTTGTGGTGGTTGCTTAGCTTTTCTCGGGGGGGAAAAAAAACACGAGTGTTTTGAATTTTCCTTTGGAGACATGAGGGAGGGACAGAGGGAAAGAAAAATTAAACGGTCCGTAGCCAGTCCGTATAATTTGAGGTTTTCTCACTAACTTCCTTGGGAGATTACAATGTGACCTTTAGTCGAGAAAATGGTAGCTCTGTTACGTTTATCTGAGTGCCCCTCTTCACAGGACTGGCCAAGCGGATTTGTCCGAGAGCCACGGGAGGGAAAGTCCGAGCCTGAGGACCCCGCAGCCGCTGCTGTACCGCGAGGCCGAGACCCGGTGCGCGCGTCTCGCGGGCGTGAAGGTGCGGGTCTGAGGCCCCAGGGCTGCTCCGCCTGGCCCTTCGGAAGCGCCTTCTTTGGTTAACTCTACCCTCAATGAGAGCCGCTGAAAGGGCTTCGGGAGCCGCCTCCCCAAGCCCCCAGAGGCCGAGAGGCCTGGAGGTGCTTCCCAGAGCCACGCCCCGGGGAGCCACCGCCCCAGACCCCCCGCGCCCTGGCGAGCTCTCCCGACCCCTGGCGGGGGTCGAGGCCCCAGCTCCGCCTTCCAAGGCCCGGGCCTCTGCTTAGCCCCAGTCCACGAAGGATCTGGCTGGTAGCAGCAAAGGGGCGCCAGCCTGGGCTTCTCTCGCGGGAAGCTCAGAAAGGAACCCGAGTCTTCATTGCCTAAATCCCTGCCGCCAAGCGACCCACCTGACCTGACCCTCGCCTCCTCACCTGACCGTACTTGGCTTCCTGCTCCAGGACTCCCTTTTCCAACCCGTTCACCGCGTGCGGGGCGGTGGCGGGGAAGTTGTTGCGGCCCAGGCTGCTCCACTCCTCCACCTTGGGGCTGTGGTAGGGGGAGCTGTCGCTCACTGCTGAAGAGGAGAGAAGGTGTCAGGCCGGAGGCCCAGCCCGCGCGCCCCACTCTTGAGATGGGACCCAAACCCGCAACGGAGAGCTGGAGGGCTAAGACCTTGGGTCGGCCCCCTGCCCTTGGCCTCCCGAGGGCGCTAGGCCCAGCCGCGACCTCCTGTGCTTCCAACCCAGGCCTGGTGAAGTTTTACTTGCCTGAGAGTAGGCCTTTCCAAATTCTCTGACCCACGCCTGAGGGAAAATATTTTTTTCTTTTTCAACCAGTATTTTATTTTCCTCCGCCCCTCCGCTCTCCCAGGACAAAGGAGTGGAAGAAACCTAAATAGGAGAAGGAACCCTTAAGGCTGCACGCGCCGTTTTCCACCTCCTCATTCTTAACCCAAGGCCGACTGGGGGTTGATAACGATTTGGGAGTGGGGCTGGCTGAAAAGAAAGAGAGGGGCGTCTGACCTAAGGGTGCCTGCACTGGTGCTCATTGCGCTGTGGGGATCTGGTACTTATGTCAATAGAGAACAAAAAGACCTGCAAAGTCCTTTGCAAACAAATAACTAAATTATTCCCACGATACGGTGCAAAATATACGTGCACAGATTTCTGCTTTGTGCGTGCATAGGGCTCCCCTTGATACTCTACCTCTACACATTACACATGTGATATGTGCATATGACTTAAAAAATAAATCTTGCAATTGCCACTGTACATGCCATGGGTGTTAGTGGCAGGGTTTTCCTGAAAAAAGTTTCAAATATGTATATACAAGAAAGAGAAAATGAAATAGGTTAAGAAAATGAAAGTAAAATTAAGTGTTAAGGTGTAATGCCATCAGTTATTCTTTCTGTTCTTGGTGGAGATGCAAAGAAAATCGTATGGTGTAAAGTAATTACTATAATACCTAGGGTTGTGCATATTGAATTATTGGCATTTTTCGGTGTCCAGGTGTAGTTTCAAAGAGATATGTGAAGGCTACAAACAATGTATGTTTGTCTTTGGGTCCTATGGATGGAGGAGCGAAGTTTGGCAAAGCCATTGTAACTTGATTTTAAACACGTCCATCTAACACAGTGCTTAAGAGAGTGATCATTTTTGCAGAAATGATCATTTTTATAATCACAAATTTGTCACAAGCTGGATTGTTTAAAGCTGGCATCCAAAATCACAACAATATCTAAAAGGAAAAGTTGCTCCTTTCCATTGTCCAATGCTTTCCCATCTGATGTTTGCTCTGATGGTAATATCCCTAGGCAAGAAAAGTTTTATTTTCAACTCTGTCAGTCTTTTTTTTTTTTTTTTCCACTATGTTTCCTCCTCTACCACCCCCAAGAATTAGATTGAGTCCCATTTGCACCAGGAAACTGTTTTGGTCCAGAACTGCCTGTCTGTCTTTGCCTTCACAGACAAAAGGCAGTCGGTGGGCACAAGCCTGAAGTTATCTTAAGAAATTGAGATCCCCCTGTGAGCCCCCATTTCTGCTGATCTCACACTTTCCCATGAACAGGGGCTTCCTTTAAATGTCAGTGAGGTCAGTTTATCCTATAAATCAAGGGCAAACTCTCTCCAACTACGGCTCCAAGTAGCTCCAAATAAGACAAAACTGGGGTCTTGTAAACTTGCAGTCAGAAAACAAGAAGATGAGAAATCAGAGCCCTGCTTTAGTTACTTAAAAAGATAATTGTGCCAATGTGGTGGCAACCAAGAAAGGCAGGAAGTAATTAAAGAAACTATTTCCCCCTTTCCTATTTAATTTTTCCTCCACACTTTTAAAACTTCAGGCTGAGAAATTAAGAAAGTGGACTATCTACGCATTATTTAAATTCTGCATCTAGGTCATTTAGACTTTCTTTTCTCCCTACCAAGAAAAAAGTTAACGCCTTAAAAAAAAAAAAAAAAAAAAAAAAAAAAAAACCTCAGTAAAAGAAAACAAACTCAGGTCTCCTGCGGAAGCCGGACTGGGCAGGAGGGCTCGGGGAATCCTTCTGACAACGCAGAAAGGACGCTTAGGACTAGGCAAGGTCAGGGGTGAGAAAGGAAAGGAACAGTGGGGTGGCACTGCTGAAAGCATGCAGGAACTAGATAGATATCCACTTGCATTCTCGGGGACCCGGGGACCCCAAAGGAAAGTGGCAGGCTCAGGGAAAACTGAAAAGAACCGTAAAAGGACAGCATGGAATTGCCTGCATGTTATCTCCATCACTGCAGTTGCTGAGGCCACTTCCCTTTCTAAGATATATACAGTGAAGTCTGTTAAGTTAGAAAGTGAATGATGAGAGAGAGAGAGAGAGAGAGAGAGAGAGACAATGTGAATATGACTTCATCTGGGAATGAGTTACATGCAAGTTACTAGTAGTAACTTCGGGACCTCTATTTCCGAGGAAAATGAAGTGAAGCATAAGAACGAAACCAATTAGGTGACATTTGAACTTCCTGCCTGAGCAAATTTGGCCTGATTACCACAATCCAGAATCGGAGAATACTACTTCAATTTCCACCGCGTGCTGGACTGCTCCCGGCTGTAGTGATCCCCAAGCAAGCTGCTCTGCCCGCAGCGGCGTCTGCAGCCGGCAGCCCCAAGCAGGCTCGGGCCTCCCGGGCTGCGCCCCAAGTCCAGCCCCAGCCGTGCTCTCCAAGTGAGCAAGCCGGGCTGAGGCTGCCTCGGCGGCGCGAGAGGCGGGGGAGGGTGGAAAATGCGAACCATGTGTTAGGGATGGGGGGATGTTATGGGTCTGATAGTTTGAGTTGAGGCAGGAGACTGTGTGTGGCAAGGAAACCAGGGGCATGAGTTTCAAGTTAATGAGATCAGGACACCCCCTAGGAAGACTCCTTACTTTTCCAAAGGAAAAAGCTTTAGGTGGTGGGAAAGACAGGGTCCCGGAGGCCGCAGAAACTGGTACCTCCGCTGGAGTGCGGAAGCAGACGCTGCACATTCACATGACCAGCCTCTGAGCCCCTACCTTGGTCGGTGATGGAGCGGATGCCCAGGATGTCTGTGACGGAGTGCGAGGAGGGCCAGGTGCGCGGCATGGCCACCGAACCAGGGATGGCAGGCACCCCGGGTGGCGTGGGCACCTTGGCGGCCGCCGCCGTGATAGGGCTGGGGTACGAGTAGATGTGGTTGTACGGCAGCGCTGGCTGCGGCGTCGGCTGGTGCTGCTTGTATGAGTCGTAATGACCCTGCTGGGCCAAGTTGCCGATCTTGTTGCGCAGAATACGGCTGATGGAGCTCACGGAGGGCACGTTGTACTTGTCGCACACGCCGTCCGCCAGCAGGCGGTCCCGGATCTCCCAGGCGAAGATGCCGGGGTCCCTCTGCTTGTAGGTCCGGATGTGTTTCACCACGGTGGGGGTAGTGACCCGGGGCTTGCTGCCCCCGATGGCTCCTGGCAAGATCGAGCCCGTCTCGTTGTATCGCGCCAGGATCTTGCTGACGCAGCCGTGCGAGACCCGTAGCTGTCGGCTGATGTCACACGGTCGGATGCCCAGTTGGGCCAGTTCCACGATGCGAAGCCGGATGGCGTTGGGCAGCGGCCTCCCGTTCACGAACACTCCTCCCAGCTGGTTCACCTCCCCGAAGGCTGGCTCTGCAAAACGAACACACAGCGCGCAGGGACGCGCACCCGCTGCTTGGGACAGCCGCCTGCCACTGGGCCTCCCTGCGCGTCCAGGGACTGGGCGAACGCGCCCGTCCCGTACTAACGACTGGGACTGTCCCCAAACCATACGGTCCCGGAACATAGCCGAACGGCCCGAAACGGTCACTATCCAATCGGACCCCCTCTCTCATTCCTGCCGTGCCGGAGGCCCCTACAACCAAGTAAAGTGGTGAGACGCAGGGCCTCTCCGAGCGTTCAAAGTCTCCCGAAGCAGGAGGGGAAATCGGTCTTGACGCCTGAACGCGCTTCTTCTCGCCTGCTCCTTACTAAAGTCTTTGAGCCGCTCCCTCTCTCCACCCATCCCATCCCCAGCGTTTGTTCTGGAGACCCGGGCAGTTAAACAAAGTCTAGGGGAAGCTAGAGGGTGTGTTGTTGTTGTTGTTTGTTTTGTTTTGTTTTGTTTTGTTTTCCTGTTTTGTTTGCGTGTGTGCGCGCGTGTGAAACAAAACTTGGTTTGCTACTGGGGCTGCGGGGCGCTGATGCCACAGCTCCCTTCTCTTAAAATCAGAAAATGGCATCAACAGCCACCCAGTAGCCAGCGTTCACGTTGAACTGCTGTGCGCCGCTGACCCTTAGCGTGTTCCTACAACTTGTAGGAACACGAGCAAAGTCAATAGAGAATGTGAGCGCTTAGTGGCGCGCGCCCTCGCACTCCCTCCCTCCCTCCCTCCCTCGCCCGTTCGCTCCCTCCCTCCCTTCCCGGCTCTGACAGAGTCCCCCGCCGCCACTCACCCATTGCTCTGAGCAGTACACCAACCCGGCCCCAAATTCGCACTCCCAGACAGAAACTTTCCGCACCGCGTCAGTGGCCCGGCCTGTTGCTACCCGGGCGGACCGCCGGCGCCTCCGATTCTTCCCAGGAGGAGGAGGCGAGAGTGCAAAAGGAAGAAGTAAAAGGAAGTCTGTGCCCCGATGAAAGAGACTTGAGTTCTGCATTTCAATCTAAGCAGCAACGTGGGCTGGGCTGAGCGGGGCCGGGCGGCTCAGTCTATCACTCACTGGGGACACGCCCTAAAAGGGGCGGGTCCGAGGGCAAGCTGCGTGGTGATTGGTGCGGGTCGGTGAGCTACAGCGCAGTCCAGGAAACTCCTTCCGCTGTCTCTTTCAGGCTGGCTCCCCACCTGGGTGACTAAATACAATGAAAATGGGTGTTTGACATCTTCCCAGAAGAGGCACAAAAAGACAGCAAAATCAGGCTGGTAAAATGCTGAATAAACAAATGAAAGCGTTTGGTCTGAATATGAATGACTCGAAGGGAGAAGGGGCCCTAGGAGACCTCCTCTAGGGAACGATGGACGTCTCAGAATTGAAGTTAAGACTATAGGTGGGAGGCGGCGCCACCGTGCACAGGGGTGAGGGAGTTGTCTTAGCAAAATCTGTCATGCGGGCCTCTGGGGACTGTCAGGAGATGATCTGTGTCACCTGCCGATTCTACCTCACTTCAGTCCATGCCAGGTGGCGAGAGCGCAGGTGTGAGAAGGTAGGCCGGCCAGAGAAACCAGGACGTTGCGGGGAGCCCAAGCAACAGGTGGGGGCCACTGTTAAGGTCAGGGAGGTTCCTCCTACCGCCAACTTCCTGCGGTGGCCCCCCAGTACAGGTGGACCGGCTAACCACTAGTCACACAGGCTCGAGGCAGGGGCCACGCCGTGTGCAGGGAACTGAACCACAGGCGGCTAACGCGAACGCACCGCCCCAAGTCGACCGATTGCCAGTGCGTGGGGCACTCACTATGGAGCCCAAGGCTCCTCCACATTCAGCCACTGTCCTGGGCCCCTGGCTCTCGGTGCCAGCGTTTGCGTGGGTTCTCCAAACCAGTGAGCCCCCTCGAAAGAGTTTTGTTTAAATGTAAAAGAGACTTAGTCCCAAGACAGTGGACACCGACGCTGCACATGGATGTAATTCCCTCGTCTTCCGTCAAGCTCCCAGAGGCCCTGCAGTTCTGCCTACTTCTGAATTTTCACTTTTGTTCACTCTAAGTCTAACCTAAAGTGTACCGTATGCCTTTTTGCAGCCAAAGTTATTAATATTTGCATTTAGGGTTGTGGAGAATGTGAATCAAAATAATAAACAAGAAGAGAAATATTTTCCTGAATTTGGAAGTTTGTACTTCTTGGGGTCGTGAACTCTGCTACTGCTACTTGACAATCCAGAAGGCTCCTTGTGCACACAGGATTCAGGCTGCTTCCCCAGCAGTCCCTAGGGATGTGTGTGGCTCCGGTCTACACCCAGGGAAGCTGACTGGTCCCAGATCTCAGGCCAGTAAGTTACAAGAACCCGGGAAAAAACTATGATCAGCCATGCTTCTGCAAAGGAACAGATCTCCAGATTCGCACTTCTATGGTTAGGATGCACTGTAAATTCAAAGTTACCTAACAGAATGGAGGATGTGAAAGATAAAGATGAACTAAAACACCATTCGTTAGAATCAGAATCTTGGGAAAAATCCCACAACTAGACATATTTGAACTTGTCCCTTTTTGTTGGTTGGTTTCAAATGTTTAAAATCTTGAAGTTTGACTTGATAGCAATTTCACCCTGGTCTGACCCCCAATACCTGTTGGATGACACCATGTGGCACCGCCTGGCATTTTTATACAAGGAAAGCCTTCGGAAATCTAAAGATTTTAGAAGCAGCAGCTCCTTCTTAAGGCTGGTAGATAAATTAGTTGAGGCTTTGCCGCATCGGAGGGGAGCTTACGACTTTGCCTTAGGCTTGCGGGAGGGACTGAACTTGCCCGGCAACTTGATCAAGCGGGAATCCTCCTCCCACCTCAGACACGCAGTGAGTTTCGACCTCTGCGCCGAATCTGCTCTACTTCCGTGCACCCAGGGAGAATTTGCAGTCTGCAGGGCTGCTAGGCTGGTACAAGGATGTTCGCATGCCAACAGGCAAGACCTAATGTCCCGCGGGGTTCTGGAGACTTTGCGAGAGCTTTAGCAGTTCTACAGCACCAGCCTAGACTGGTTCAGAAACTGACATGGTTTAGAGCTCTGGTTATATGGAGGTAACATACAGCTCCCTCTTGTTCCTACCAACTCCTTCAGCTGTCACACATCTCCCCAGTTCTCACATAGGTTCAATGCCATCTCTCCCTTTCCACCTGCTGGACTTGGCTGTGACCATGTGGCCTTAGCTGCTGCGGATCCCCTGGGCGCGCCAGGGGTAGTAACTCACTGGGCAGAGGGCCTGTCCGTGGCGCCGGCGGCTCCCCTAAGGCCCCACTCATGCCGGCGGTTGCAGGTACTGGGTGCTCTTGGCATTCTCAAGAGCGCAGGAAGAGTCAATTTTAGGTGCTTTGGGCCACTAAGTATCCGCGGCAAGCCGAAGCCCCCGATCTGGGACCAAAAGAAGCCGAAGCTGCAGACAGTGTCAGCGGGATCCCAGGAGAAGAGGGTGAGGCTGAAGCCTTCCCGGGGCGCGGGCCGAGTGCTGAGGCGAGGTAGTCAGCGACCCGCTGAGACCGACCCAGAGACGACGGATCTGAGGGAGAGAAAGAGGGATGGGAGAAGGAAGAGAGAGAACTCTAAGGTCTGGTCAGTCCCGATGAACGTAAGGATGTAGGACTTAGAGAAAGAACAAGGGTCAGCTGGAGTCAGTGCCCCTTGGTTACTGCTCACTCTGGACCCAGAAGATCACAAAGAGATGGGAAAAATTTCGACTAAAAGGAGAAATTTAAGACCAAAACCAAAACACAACCAGTAAGGCCTGCAGCTGGCTCAGGCCGCGGAGAAGCCAAAAAGCCTTTTCCTAGTCGCGTCGAGGCCTCCTCCGAGGGGCGACCCGCTCTCTGGGTAAATATTTATTCAGTGGGAGACTGGAAGCCAGCCGGGCCCGAGAGTGTGAAGAAGGGGGGCTGCACCGAGTGGGAGGAACCAGTACACTCGGCGCTGGCCGGATCCTAGTGTACACCCGCCCGAGGGGAGCATGGGCCGGGGACTCTGGGTGCAGCTTGGTCCAGGCGTGTGGCTGGGGAAGCTTTAGACCCCAGCACCACCGGATCGACCGGACTCCGCCCTGCCCTCGCGGACCCCAGTCAGATGCTGTGAAGTCTCCATAAATCTGTCAGCCGTCCCAGTGCCTCGGGCAGTCACCTGCGGCGCCCCCTTCCCGGCGCTAGAGCGGCCGGCAGAGAGACGCGGAGAAGCAACAGGAATCTAGCCGGGCAGACTGTACCCAGACCCAAGCACTGCAGGTTGTGCGGAACGCGGGGACTCCTCCCTGTATCCCCAACCTGGACCGACTCCAGGAAACCTGCTCCTGCGGGTCTACAGGTCAGTGATGACTGCGGATGGGAGGACAGGGCGAGAGTGGGGGGTGCGTATGCGCGGGAGAGAGGTTGTTCTATTGCGAGTTGCAGTTATGACAGGCAGAGCTAGCAGAAAATATTAAGGAGCTGATTCCTCCAACTTGCCCCCTGCTGGGGACACGATCCCCCAAGGGAGGTCCAGGCGATGGTGCCCGCCTCTTGTCCACTCGGAGGAGTTTCAGGGATTGCAAGACACAGTCCAAGGTCCGGGACTGGGATTTTCACAGTGCATTGACTTCTAGCCGTCTGGGAGAAAATGCAGTAAAGGCAAGACCTTTCAGGATGAGTTGGGGTATTGCGCGCGGTGCAGAGAGAAAAACAGGCCCAGCTTCTCCAGAACTCTGGCCCGCTGCTATGTCCCCGTCTTGCAGGGTAAGCGGCCAACTGAGTTTCCCAGAAACTGCAGCGGCAAGTGACAGCCAGAAGCTCGCCCCGCGCCCGGGGAGAGGGAGGGTCCGCCCAGGACCGCTGGCCCTGCAGGATCTTTGCTGCGGGAGGGGGCGGCCGGTAAAAGGAGCAGTCTCGGGGATTGGGGAGGGAGACAGCCTTCAGGGGTCCTCTGCCCCAGGCAGATCCGGAGTGGGAGAGGAGGACAGGAGGCGCCCACACACTGACCTGCGGCCTGGACTTGGAGGGACTGTGGACGCACCAGCCCAAGGAGAAGCCGCAAGCGCACCGAGAGGAGCAGAGCGCGACCGGAAGATGCTTGGAGAATAGCCCCGCGGTCTCTCCACCGTCTCATCAAGGAGCCTTACGGTTCAAGAGTCTCTCCGTGACTCCACGAGGTAGCTAGAATGGCAGCGGGTTGGGTCGGGCCCGAGCTCGGAAATGCGTCCCGGCGTTCTGAGGGTCCGACAGCGACGGGACCTGAGCCCTGCGGGCGGTGGGATCGGCCCCACCGGCTGAGAGAGCTCGTCGCCCGCTTTCTCCTTGCGAGGGCAGGGGAGGGGCCTGTTGCTGTCTGAAATCCGCTTTTAATTCTCCGCCTGCCTGTTTCCGATCACCCGGGGTTGGTTTTTCTGTTTGCTCACTCCTTCTATTACAGTAAAAACAATCGACATTTCTTTTCAGTTTCCCCATATTAGCGTCACTCAGTAATTGTTCCCCACCCCCCTTACCCCACGCGTTGAAGGCGAGCGGGATTGCTGGTATTCTCGCATTTGGAAGCTTTCCGAGCATATAAGCAAATCTTTCCTAAAGACTTTAAAGTAAAAATAAATAACGGCCGGGGAAATTGCCGTGACCCTAACATTACTTTCTGAACGCAAATTACACCCATTTTTCAGTTTTCAACAGTGGAATTGCTTTCAGAAGGACAGTGTGGAGCTCCATGTGATATGATTACGTTTGTTTATTAAATCCGCAAATGAAAGAGAACATATTTTTATGCAGGGGGCAAAACTCTGGGCTGCGGGATTGCAAGAGCGAACAAGGATCGGATCCCAACAGAGGAAGAGGGGAGCGGCCTAGGGGCAGGGAGGGTCCCTGAGGGGAGGCTGAGCTGATCTAGCCAGAGGGAGGGGGATTTCGTCTTGCCAGGGTGGCAGCATTAGCAGAAGTTGCGCAGCTTGGTGAGGAGGACGCAGTACATGGTCACTATACAGCGGTGAGCTGCAGCGCTCAGGAGAGGTGCAGCTGCGTGTGGGAAAAGCAAGATTGCTGGTTTGAGACCCTGCCCTCAGGCGTGAGGGCTTTGGGGCTGCCTCCTTCCAAAGACCCTATTGGCCTAAATGCTGTCTGGAAAAGATAAACGAGAACCAGGCCAAGCCTCTAAACCCTGGTTTCAGGACTCACATGAAACCCTTCGGGGGCTCCCACTGTGGTCTGAGTTATGTTGAATGCAGCTTTATTGCAAGGTCCAGGTTGCCTGCAGGCTGTGAGGCCCAGCCCGCTGTTCTCTGATCAGAGCCGGGCCTCTGCCCTCTAGGCCCCAAGCTTCGGCTGCGCCCGAACTGCTGATGGAGGGACCAACCCACTCTAACTTCTGGCTTCCGAGGAGTCTGAATCAACCCTCAGGCCGGAGTCATCTTGACGGACACAAGAGTTCTCCCATTTTCAGTGACCCAGGGCTCACTCACTGCGCGTTTCCTCTAGGTGGCATGACGCCCTTGCGAGTCGCCCCCAGTCCTGTGCAGTCTGGCGAGTCCTCGCACCTGAGCAGCGTACCGGGCGATAGGGAGTTGGTGCGCTGCAAAGTCTAGGCGCTGTGTTTCCAGCCTGTCGCCTTCCCCGAGTTCACCCCGCCACCCACCAGCCCCGTGCCGACTCCGAAAGCGGAGACTGGTGTTGCATAGTCCTAGCTAATCCCTCGAAAACAGGAAGCGGAGGCTGGGAGCAGAGGGTTAGCGTTGTAGTCACAGAAAATTTCCCGCAGTCTTCTAGTACCCCAGCCGCCTCTCCCGGCCACCGCACCTTGTCACAGCGCCACCTATAGGAACCAGATTAGATCGCGCTCCCACTGCAGTTTTTGACAAGATTGGGAACCGCCTTTGAAAATCCACAGAACTTCAAAGCCCGACATTTTTGGTACCCCCTTTCAGATCCCTCTGCACCCTCAACTCTCCATTGACTCCAAAGCTCCCCACCATTCTCCACCATGCTCCAAGGGAAACCCGATCATGTCTTTTCACGATTCACCGAAAACCCACCTTCCATGCCCTACCCGGCTGGATTCTCTTGCGGCCCCCGGGGGCTACTCAAGGACACTGGTAGTGAGCTGTCCTTGCGCCAGGGCGGGAAAGCTGGGTGCAGCAAAGAAACTCTGCAGGGAAGGGTGTGGGGAGTGATGGACCCATTCTTCTCCAGTTCATCCTACAATTTGCTGAGGGCTCACGTCTAACACAACAACCGTACCAAGGAGGTATTATTCTAGTTCCCGTTTTACAAGACATTAAATAAGAGCACACAAGACACTTGGATTAAACGAAATCATATTGTTAATTAACAGGAGGAAATCTGAATTCCACCATGTCCCCATTGTTGTTCTCTCCATTCCCCGAATCTGCAGGAGCACCTCACGCTGGAGCCCCCAAAGAAGCCCCCATACCGCAGGTGTCTACACTGAAAGTGGACACTCTTCTACCCACCTCCACACTTTAGAAGACAGAATGCCGCCCAAGGCCGGACCCAGAACCTGTAGCAAAGAGGATCTGCAACCTTGTCCTCCTCACTACGGGCCAAGAATCCACGCCGAGGAGGTCGCAGATGACTGGGTGAGGGCGGGAGACTGCCTACACGTCTCCTCCTGGCCCCGGCCATCCAGGGCGTAGAGGTGAGGTCCGCAGCCACTGGGGCGGTGCACAACATGTTCCAGGAGCCCCGTGGCCGAGCGGCGCACAGAGGGGCATGGAGAGGACCGGGAAATATCCTGCTCTTGACTGTAATTTGTTTCCCGAGGGCCAGGACATGCCCGTAACTCTCAGTGCGCACTCAGAGCATCAACTCAAGCACCGAAAAAATCCACCTTTGCCTTCTCGGGGATTCTTTCTGGGGTATGCCTGTGTGTGTTTCTTTTTAAGACCACTATAGTGGGAACAAACCAGGAGGTGCCGAGTTGCAATAAAATTAGAACCCATAATTAACACAGCGAGCTGGGCCCAAGTGGCTCGGAAGTGCACGTGGTGGAGTCAGTTGGCCTTCCTCCGCGGAGTCCGGGCTACAGTTGCGTTTTCTTTCTTTGGAATGCATCTTGGAGTCAGGATCAACTCCTTTCATTCCCTGCAAAGAGCGCAAAAGTAAATCTTTTCATTTATAAAAAACGATAATGATAAAGAGATTTCAGCGCACCCTGGGAGAGGTGGTAGCCAGAAGAGAAAGCCCGGAAGGTTGTTAGGGGCAGGGGTCACTTTTACTGCCTTGGGAAAATGCATTTTAGCTGCGGCCTATGCGGAATTCGTTCCGTGGGGATTGGGGATGCGCCTCCGAGTCGAGCCCGAGGGCCAGAACTGCGAAATCTCAAGCTAGTGTTTTCAGGTTTCGGACGAAAAACTGGATCCATACCAGGACCTCACCGTTCGCATTTTGGCGGAGATCACGAAAGCTCTACGGGCCAGGAGGAACCTTGGGGCCAGGGCGGGGCATTCCTGCAACCTCCTGCGCAGGGGTCCTACGCCTCAGGTCTTCTTCCTGGCTGGGGTTGGCCCTACCGGGAATTGGGCAGTCTCTAATAGGCCCCTCTACCTGCCGGCTGTTCGCTCCAAGAGGCGGATTTGCGGGGTCCAGGGCGAACCCTTTTCTCTTCCCTTTGCCAGTCAGTGCACCTCCTGCCTAAGTAAAAATTCTGCCCTCACCAGGACCAACGGAAGAGCTGACCTCTCACCTCCTCCACAGCGGCTGTGGCTTTCTAGACAAGCTGCGTGTCTGAGCCAGTGGGAGAACAGAGTATAACCACCTCTCCATGGGCACGATTGGAAGGCAGTTCTGGGAAAATTGTGAAAGGACCCAAAAATGTTTTCAATGGACACACAGAGGCTAAGGGAGAGAAATGTAAAAATGAAATAAATATAATTGCAAAAGTGTTTAACTCTTTAATAAGCAAAGAGGGGTAAAACACAGTACCATCCTTGCAGAGTAAACCAATTTTGCCAGCAGGTACAAACTGTTGTGTTTTTTTCTAACGAGAGAGGGGGGAAAATGCTGCTTGCATATGATTCACATTTTTCATCAATAAAATGTTTTAAAAGTAATATGAATTAGCCCAATTTTTTTTTTAGTAGGGTGGGGGGAATCAAGCAAGTGTTGCTGATTTTATTCAATAGATGCATTGTCTTTTGCACAGAGGTAAGAAATAATTTGTAAAATGTTGTTTATAAAGTGAAGCTAGCTACACATTTTTAAATCTTAAAGATGTTTAAGTTCATAATGTCATCGCATAATCCATTTTGGTAGTACGTTTATTAAAAATCATATTCTTGGCAGGACATTTAATAAAAATCAGACTAATTTGCAAGGAAGGGCATAGTAGACAAAAAGGACAAAGAAATCTCTTAAGGAGAAAATTTAGAAAACTAAAGAAGAGTGTTTAGACAATACTAATCCTTCATGTTTTATTCCAATTCCTACAGTTCTGTTTACTGTAGTTCTTATGCATTAAAGTGCTACAGTTTGGGTTCTGTTTCTATGCGATATTCAGACTGTAAATTTAATGGCTGCAGGGGGAGAGGAAGGATTGCGAAAACCAGAGATTAGCATCAGAAATGCTGGACCAGCGTCCTATGCATGATGCAGCCATACTACTGAGGCTACCATTCTTGTCAGACTTCTAGGGTGGATATAGAGGACTGCGGAAGAAGGCTAGTTCTATTTCCCGCAAGATCAAAATGCCAGCCCAATACATTAGCTGACCGGTGAGCCACTTCTTAGAAGGATAGAAAGCCAAGGTCATGGCCACAGGGGACCTTTAAAAAACCCCATAACACCTTCCTGCAGGACCAGAGGTGTGAATCTGATGTTCTGGTGAGCTGACAACACAGATTCCCTTAGCAATTTTTATTGCCTGGGTGATTCATATTCAATTCCTTTGGGATTGAGTTCTGCCCCGCCACATGGTTCCATTCTTGGAGACACCCCTTTCACTAGGGAAAGAAATAATGATCCCATTACTCCATGTAAAAAACCTTCATAATGCCAGCTTAAGGCTAAAAATGAAATCCCTGAAAGTCAGAAAATAGAAAAGTCAAAATTCTTTTAGTCTGTTCAAATCACCCTGCTTCCTGGGCTATATAATGCATGGTACATTTACAAGCCTCCCCAGCAAGGCCATTCCAGCAACCAGGCACTGCTGCTGCTGTGTTTAAAGGGGAAACACGGGAGCACCACTTGACTGGGCAGATTTTCCATTTGCAGTTTGAATGTTTCATGCCAGTAGATTTCAGCACTTTCTTGCTAAAGTACTATACCGCATGCATTGGCAAATGGATTTAAAACTTAAATAAAGCAAATTAACTTATAGGTAACCAAAAGCAATTCAAAACAAGAAACAGACACTCTGCAAATGTTTTACATACCTCGAAGATTTTCCAGGTACCTAAAACTCTCTAAATCCAGCTGTATCATTCTAGAACAGTGCTACACATTTCTCCAACTCTGACAGAAAATGAAGTTCTTCAATGGTAATTGATGCAAATAGGTATATTTTCTTCAACACTTCCCTACTTTTTATTTTAGAATTAAACATCCATCCAGTTTTCCCAAGAGGAAAAAATACAGTCAGTAGAAAGATGTGTTATTTAAATTCTGTTTTGAAAATTCAGACATAGCTCATTTATGGATTATAACTTCCCGAAAACGTCTCCCCTACCTCTTATTTCAATTTTAAAGTAGCTAAAAGTATGAGTTTTCTTTTAGAAACAGACTTATCTATAATATTTTAGCTGTGAAACAAAATTATTTAAGACTTTCTGTTTCTCTTACATCAGAGGGGATACACACACACACACACACACACACACACACACACACACACTCTCACACATATATATATATGCAGAAAACAGAGGGTTAACCTGGTAGAGTTGTGTGTAAGTTGAGCCATGGCTTCTGGCCACAACATGCACATGATCTGTGTGTTTCATCATGGAACTGCTAAGGCACATGAGGGTTTTGGGGGATAAAGGTATTAGGTACATAGGAGACATCATTATTTCTATTAGAGCAATTAGTCTCATGGAGAAATATATACCCTTAGGGTAAAATATACATTGAGTTCTGTAAAAGGAATGAATAACATACACTTGGACATCACTGCATAAAAGCTGCACTTTTTTCCTCTACAGGAACATTTTTTTGTGTCAATAAAAATGATGAAGGCAAAGCTAGGCAGCCTGGACGTGTCACCAGAACTCAAGGCATCATTTTGGATTTCACAACTCTATGACCCAGCTGTCCAAAAAAAAGAATCTCAAACATATATTTTTAAGCCCTCCTGAAGACATGCTTCTCATTATACAGCTAAGCCTCAATTAACCAGATAACTCAGGAAAGTATTTGAAGGAGGACATGGTGTCTCCTGAACATTTTCTAATGTCTTTGAACGAAACGGAATATAAGAAAAGGAAGTGTGTGCATGTTGTGCTGTACCTTACAATTTTTTGACATGAAAAACACTTTAGAAATCAACTCAGGTCATTTCCATGCCTTCCTAAGAATATAGTATAAGAGGAGTAGTTCAGAAAAGTGAATCCAAATGAATGCTTCTTTGATAAGCACACCTTTCTGGTAAATATAATACTTAGGTAGAGCAGAATGGGGATCATTATATATTAATGTGACAATAGTGAAAATCAAGAGAGTCTGAAAAGCTGGTTCTTGGGTGAAGAACAGTGTTTTAGGAAGGAGGATGAAAAGGGAAGAGGGAATTGTTTTTGTCATAGATTAAAGAAAAGACATTTTTTCTCCCTTACCCTAATCCACCCCCACCACTCCAGGCATCTAGGGAAACCCAAATGAATGCTGGGATTAATAGCGGAGGGATATAAACATTGTAAATTAAATTCACTGCTATTTTTGCTACAACAAATAGTGCCAACAAGTTTGCGTATATGTGTGTGTCACAATACATTTAATCAACTCATTTATAAGAAAAATTTGTCAACTTATCTCTGAAGATAACCCACAGTATGAGATTTTCAGAAACATGTCAAGTTCAAAGGGCTGAATTTAGACCCCTTATTTCCTTCTTAAGTCTGCTAAAGATACGCGTTCAGCCTATGGGCTGCATTGTAGGTCCATAGGCCTTTTCTTCCCTGTCCTTCCTGGAAGTCAGTACTGACCTGCGGAAACACAAAATCTTTATTTTGATGCATGTTATCACTTCTGTCTAAGAACCTGGCATTAAGAAATGGTAATGAAAATTACTGCAACCTGTACCAGCCAACTAGGGAAAGTTACAGACACTAGGAGAGTTTGCTTTTTATAGTACTTTATCCTACACTTCTCTCTTGCCTTAACTGCATCCCCACTCCTTTCTCTGGATTCGTTTCTCTTTCTCTTTCTTCTCTTCTTCTTCTTTCTTTGCTTCTTGCTTCTTCTTCTTCTTTCGTTTCTCTTTCTTTCGGTTTCTTCTGTTCTCTTTCTTTCTTCTTTCTTTCTTCTTCTTCCTCCTCCTTCTTTTCTCTCTCTCACACTCCCCTACACATTCTGCACCCATAACTCCCTAGAAGAAAGCAGCATTTTACATAAGATTTAGGTTTTTAAAATGTTCTTTTCTAGTTAAAATTCCAAGAAATATTAGAAGGCACACCAGAAAACTAAGCATAACATTACCAAGAAGAGTTCCAGCAAGGTTATAAAGCAGTTAGCTTTCTTCATCCAGATTCCTAAAGCCATCATAAATGCGTATATGCCTGGATCTATCTTGGAGCTTATATTTTAAACAATCCGTGAAAAAGTACATCCAGACTTTTACATGTTTTGGAGAAATTAGCATGCAGCTAACACAAAGTCAACCTTTGCCATCTGTATTTGCTCACAAATCCCCAAAAGCAGGTAGACTGACCTTAGCTACACGGCATTAAGGAAACACGAGCTTCCACCAATCCAAAGTGGAGTTTGGGGCGATGAGAAGCCACTCAAAGTTATCAGAGTTCTGTGGCTGTTCTTTGATCCATGGTTTAAGTCCATTCATACAGTTGGACCAGACATGATGATTTTGACAAACTCCAGTTTATCTCCTGGAGCTTTCTTGGAACATCAGTTTGGGTTATTTTCTGTAGTATAGTTGTACGTGCCAATCTCAGGGCAGCTGCCTTTCTTTAAGGTCATGACTGAGGGTGGCGAAAAGTATTGATTAGTCATCTAACCTCTTAATAGCTGTAAATACCAATTGAATATTTTGAACAACACACTCTTCAGGTCACATGACAACATGTGGCCATTTGCTTCTTAGATTTCTAATGCATAGCTCGGGGAGCAAATACTCTTTAATAATTGTTAAATATATCTTACAAATCTTCCAAAGAGGAAAAAGTCTCCATCCAAATTTAAACCCAGGTTATGTGCTAAAAATGGACAGTTGGAACTAAAACATAGCTGTCATTATCTTTTCTACAATAACACTTACACACTATTATCTTTTCTGCAATAACGGAGCATTAAAGAATAAAATGTAAATTTTACTGCTTTATTTGCAGGGATGAAGGTCAGAGTGTCAAATTGCAGATTTCAGATTCTCAAAAATGGGCCGCTGTGTTTAACCTCCTCAACTTCTTTTCTCCACTTATAAGAAGGAACAAAATAAAATGTTTTGTGGAAGTTTATATTGAAATGAGGTCAGGTAAACTAATGACTGCTTGGTATTTTATGACAAGTTTTATAACCTTGGAGTTGCCATAACTTTCAAACGATCATCAATAAAGTTTTATTGCAAAAGGGTCGCCATGTGTCTGAATGCTTTTGCACATAGTAAAGCTATGCTGCCCCATTGGCTTAGCTCACCAGCCCCTTTTCACCCCAGCCATAAAGTCCTCTTCTTTTTTATTGGAGGTTGAAAAGTCCCCGGGTCTGCTCTCCTCCATCAGGTTGCCAATGTGGGAAAGACACAGAAATTAAACTACATCATTAAATAACTGTACACAACCAAATCTTCAAGAATATGTAATAAGATTGCTTTTTAATAAAATAATTTAATTTGGATTTAAATGGATTCCATTTAATAAAATAAATGGCATTGGGAGAGGG